TTTATACAACCTACCTGCTAGCACACAGAAAAAAAATGCAGTGAATTGTAGAACCTATAAATCCAAACTTTAGCAAGTAGCCTCCTTGACCAAGTAAGAATACTAATACTATATTCTTCTGTAAGTGGCTGTCCCTCAGTTTATAGGATAATTTAACTTATTTGATCCACACAGCCAGACTGGTTCTATAGGTACCCATGATATCACTGTATATGAAAAGTACACTTCAAGCCATTATTTCAAATGATAACACCTCCCCCCTCCTTTCAAAGCACTGCAATCATTAATTAGTTTTTGATTTTGAGGTCACTGCAATACTTTATTATGCCCTTTTCTAGAAAAACTAGGAAGCAAGCTAAAATGAATTGTCTATCAACTGATACTGTCAGTATAGACAATGCAATTCCCATTCCACTAATATATTGGGCTCCAATATATGGCAACTGTTCTTATAGTGCTACATCTCTTGAATATATAAAGTAACCGTAAACATTTCTGAATCTCAGTGTGCTGTAACTACAAAAAGGCAATGTCTTCCATTGCTCGAACAATTTACCTTAATTTCCCAATAATTCCAATTAAGTGTGGTTTTGCCCTACAAATAGAATTTGGATCTATGCAGAGGACAATTCAACTATATATTATAGTATCAAATAGTCTGTGCCCAAACAAAAACATGCACGTTTCATGTTTTGGTTCACATGCAGGCTAAAATGGAGCTGTTTTGTTCTAGATACAGACCAAAATACTGTTCCAGGCACAGGTGACCTGATGTGGGAGGTAAAAGAGAAAAACTAAGGGCATTGGTGGCAGCTGGGAAAAGTCAGGAGAAAGGGAACGAAAGGCACTGGGAATATACTGACGGGCATGCTAGGAGAAGCTGAGTGGAGAAAAAGCACCACACTACTTGCCCCACAAAATCACTCTAAAATTCATCTGGATTTTGTTTGGCTGAGACCCAGAATAACCAAAGCATTCCAGATTTGTTTCTGCTGGGCCAGTGAATCTGAAATGCAATTCAAATCATTTTTGGATTGCAGCTCCTGATATGCCATGAGAGGCTGTCAGTCACTAAAAACTTACAGAGCTTAGAAAACAACACTCAGCAAATTCCTCATTAGGCACTCAATAAACCAAGAGTTTCCTGCAAAAATGCTGCAAAGGGTTGGGATCATTTAAAAAATATTTTTAAGTGGTCCAAACCGATAGGTTGAGAGGCTTTGTAACATCATTCAGAAACAGAAATTTATTGCTAAAAATTGGAAACAAACACAAGACATTTGACCTTTACAATATGTGTAGCCATTTTCTGAACGAATAAATTGCAAACAAATTCTCATTTTATGATGAGCAGTATGTCTGAGTCAAACATTCAGCTGACATAACTTACACAGAATGCAATGGGAGTTGGAGAACTTGGTCACTTCCAACCAAATCATTTATATTAATAATGAATTAGGCATCCTCATCTACATGTTCTCACATCAGTCAATAACAAAAGGTATTGTTTGAAATAATTTATCTGACCTAAAAAATGTCTGTTTTAAATGATTTAAAACAGAACAGCGTTAAGACCACTTAATCTTAAATACATGTAAAATAGAAACTATTGTATATCCTCATCTAATTTAACAATGCTAGCACCTACAAACGTTTCTAGAAATGGAGAAGCTGCCATACTAGTGCAGGAGTCAAGTGGGGTTTGGCTAATATACGAACTCTTCTGATTCCAAAACATCCACAATTTGTGCTGCTGCAGGACGCTTTCTTGGATCTTCCACGGTACACAAACAGAAGAGCTCAATAACCCTTTGATAGGAGGGACCCAGCTCCTCCATATTGAGTGGTGGCCGAGTTCCAAGTGCTGCATAATAGGCATCATCATCAAAGTCAGCTTCATCAAAAGAAGTATCTGGAAGTACATTAGAAATGGGTCAGAAGCTATTTTCAAGAAACCATCACAAACTGCTGAGAAGATAATCACATTCAACATTCAAACTGTAGCCCAGAAACAGCACTGATTGCTATCTGATTTCCTGGTGACCAGGATTTAAGTCCCCTCTTGACCACAGAGCTCTCACAGGGTAACTTTAGGCCAGTCATTGTCCTTCAGATTAATCTCATGGGATTATCGTGCAAGTAAAATGAAGGGAAACCTGGGTGGATAATCTTGAGCTTTGGCAGTAAATGACAATAAATACAAACTAAGACTGCTTATTTTAATAAGGACCTCTCTGGACATTAAGATCAACAGAAGGTCCTCTGAAAGATACTTTCATTTGCTAAAGTAGTTTGTCATGGACATGGAACTGGACATTTTCCCTTCCAACTACAGAATATAGTGCCTTGGCAATTATATTCCAAGAAAGGACTTTCCTTTTTAGTCAAGCTCTTCTAAATTACGTTAATGATTTAAACTATTTGATGGCATTTTACATGTGTATATTTTATTTTTTGCTATTCTTGATTTCCATGTTGATAGGCAGAATATAAATTGTAGTAAATAAAACTTAAAATATTTTGGAAGACTATCATATTCCCCATCTCCTTACAATTTTTAAAAAATTATTCCATGCTGCAATATATGTTCTAGCATATTTGGCTTAAGTCCAATGGCTGAAATCACCCAAGATAATACAAAGTTTGGTTCAGCAGCTAATGTTACCGGTAACCCCTTAGTTCACTGGCTGAACAATCTGTGAGTTGTAGGAGTTCTGCTGTCCCATTTCTTTTGCACCTGAAGGTCAAATTGGCTATTTTTGTGGGGGTGTAAAAAAGAAGGTTCTGCTAAATGTAACACTTTCTGCATCTCACCCACATCTAATTTTAACCCAGTCTACTCCAACGTCATCACTATATTACTGCAGACCTGAGGCTAAAATAATAAAAATAAAAGTCGCCCCACCACCCCACCTGCCAAATCAAGAAGAATATTTAGACACACCATCATCATCCTCTCCAAGCAGATTAAGATGAGGTATGGAAAGCGTCATCATCTCCCACAAAGTCAGCCCAAATGCAAAGATGTCAGCCTTGTCAGTGATAATACCATCTTTTTCTAGAGCTTCCTTGGGTTTCCAGGGCTCAGTGCCAATGTATTCAGCTTCAGGATCACTCACTGAAGGAAAACAAATTATAGTTACAAACCAAGAGCCACCTTCAGGGTTTGGTGCGATTCTCTCAAGAAGCAGAGATGCTAAAGCAACTGTAAAAACAAAGGGAAAGAAAGCCAAGAGCAGTTGCTGTCACAGTAACCATTATGAAAGGAATCTGAATCCTTTCACTTCCAGAATTTCTTAAAACCAACTAGGCCTGAAAAATCTGCTTGGTATAACCTTGATAGCTACAACAGTGATGAGCAGGATTTCCAGTTGCTGGAGGAGGAGGTATTCTGTTGCAGGCACAATTCCAATCACAGAACTGTACAGCTTCTCAGATCTGTCCAGAATACCTGCAGAGGAAATTTGCATAGCCACACCCTACTATTGCATTCCTTTTCCACATGAGGAAGCAAATTAGAATACTAGAATGAGAATTTCTCTGTGGAGTCCTTGGGGTTCTGTATGCCCCAGCAGCTGGAAGCAACCAAGAGAAAAGGGAGCTTGGCATCTGGGACCAAGAGAGATATTACAATCCTAATTCCTCAATTTACATAGAATATTCGTCTTACATTCCGGTTCTGAAAGGACTGCATTGTTTTGTGTCCATTTTTTGCCTTTCTAGTTTAAGAAGCAACTTGAGAAACCTCAGAAAATCAATATTCAAAATACTAAAATCATTGAACAATTCAGGTACACATTTTTTCCAGACATAGATAACTGCACCAATGTACATCTATATTTCAGGCATAGGTAAAATCTTAAGTATTTCGCTATCACTTCTGGTATATGCGCAAAGCTGGCATAATAGCTCTGGTTTCTTTATTTCCAAATGATGGTAGCCGAATTGTTTATTCTTCATTGTAAAATAGCAGCTCTGACTTTAGCAGAATTCCTTTAAGGATTCAGCAGTGTAGCAAGAAGGTTGGCTGATGACTACCATAGCAAAGAGGTCACCATTTCCTAGTACACAGAAATAAGAATTGAAGCTGATTTTCAGTGAAAGAAGATAAACACTAAATATTCAACATACCCATCATATTCTCATCTAGAGGCAAGGAGACACCCACATCACAAATCTTTATTGATTCAAAGTCACCTTTAATGACAACATTAGAAGATTTTATGTCACCATGAAGCAATTTCTTGTCATTGTGAAGATACTGAAATCAAAGAAGAGGATCTTATTTATCAAATTTGTCACAGCCAAATTTGTTGAAATTACTCTGGGCAGTTTACAGCAGAGATAAAATTCATTAAAATGCAATATAAAAATAGTCCTAATAAAAAAGGTTCCAAGAAAGATGGATAGTTGGCAAGCATCGTTAGAGGGCTAACCACCCCCAGGGATGGTTAGAGCCCATATTGCCCCATGTACACTGACAGAGCCAGGTCTTTAAATCTTTTCGGAAAGCCAGGAGGGTAGGGGCCCACACCTCTGGGGGGAGAATATTCCAAAGGGTGCAGGCAACGGCAGAGAAGGTTCTCCTCCTGGACCCTGCCAGCTGACCTTCTCTCGCTGACGGGGTCCGCAACGTGCCCTCTCTGCCTGACCGGGAGGGCCAGGTTGATATAATAGGGATGAGAAAGTTTTTAAAACAATCATAGGCTTTACTCTATTTTTGTACTGATCAGCCCTCAAGGGTTCACATAAAGTGTCATATTCAATTTATACAGCCTACCTTCAAACCCCTTGCCACGTGCAGGGCAACTTTGAGAATGGTGGCAGCTGAAAAAGGTTTCTTGTACTTTTCATTTCTTTCTTCAATCAAGTCACTCAGGGACTTCTCCCCACCATATTCCATAGCAAGACACATCCTTCCATCTTTGGCTTCAGAAAATGCACGAAACCCTTCAAAATACATACTCAGCATTTGTCAGTGTCCCCAAAGGCAACTTTCCATTTTTTTTCTCATTTCCAGGGTAATTCAAACTTTGAAATTGGCCAGGACACTTTATAATTCCCCAAATATTTTTCAGCCCAGGTATTTACTCTTAAATAATGTTGAAAGAGCTTAGGAAAGCTGCCACAGTAGCTAAGACAGACTAAGAGAACAGTAGAACTTATAATTTACATCAGTACAGCTTGCTCATGTCATACTCAAGGACACTTCTCTATATTTAGCCAAATGGAGCCTTGGAAACGTCAACTAAGAAGGCTCACTGATATGAATAAGCATCTTCCCCTTTCTCCACTTAATCTTACCCACAATGTTTGGGTGCTGAAGGTTTTTTAGAATATTAGCTTCTTCATTCAGTCTCTTTTGATATATACTTTGCTGGCTGGAATTACATTTGGTATTTATTTTTTTCACAGCCCAAGGAGAGCAAGAGATTCCTCTGGGAGACCTAGAAAAGAAAAAAGCCTTAGTTGGAAATGTGGCTCTAGATAAACTAGATTGCTGAGACTACTGTATATGAAGCACCATTTCCATTATTTTAGAATGGCTCAGACAGCAATTTAACCACATGAGAAGTGGCTCTCAGTCCTTATATGAAGCACTTTCTTTGGGCATTTTTACCTGCTAAGAGGTGGTTTGCACAAATAAATCAGACATTTTGAAATAACTATCCTTTGATAGTTCAACTTTCAGAAAGCAAATCACCAGTTTTCTTCTGAGCCTCCATTACTGTTATGAAATTCAAAAATTTCCCCATCCCACCACTCACCCAAGCCAATTCTACATCTGGTTCATCAACAAATCCATAATTAACTGAAACTTATACCTCTATCTCATAATATCTAAACTCCTCTTGATAAGCTATCTCAGGATGACGTATTTTGTCATTTTTTTTTTACATAAGGAAGACAATCTGACCCTTGAGATAAATCCAGATTTATTGTGGTTAAAACAAAAATTAGTAGGCCCAGAGCTAAACCACTTATACTGTTCTTTCCAACTTTTCTAAAACATCATCAGCATAGCTCATTTAGCAATCTTAATATGTTGGAACATATCCCTGGTATCAATTAAGATAACATACCGTTTCATAAGGTAAACACTGACACCAGTTCCATATCCCAGTTTTTGCATGAAGGGAGAAGCTGGAATAGATACTGTAGATGAAGTACTTTGTCCTATATTGTAAAAATAAAGACATGCTGTTTACACTATATGAAATAACAAACTTTTGTTACCAGAACTGCAAGAATGTTTTTTGCTAACTCAGTAACCAAGACCAGACTTTACCAAATATCTCTTACACAATCTGATGAAGTCACTCCTTGAATTTTTGATATGCAGTGATATCATAGTGCTTCTCTCTCTCTTTAGGGATATGCTGAAGGATCTACCCTATTAATTTGTTTTCTTAAAAGAAACCTACCTATTTCAATTTCAACCCTATGTCAGGCAATTTAGAGTCAGCAGCATCTCTTCACATTCACTATCATGGGAGCACAGTGATTCATAAAGTGGTGGCCATGGAAACGTGGTCATGTATCTTTACATGAAAAAAAGTTGTCCTCTCCTAAATCTGTCAAACATTTACAATATGTTTAAAAATAAATTATACTAAAATCTTGTCTCTCACATTTGTGTAAGAAACATTTAAGAACATTGACATTAAGTTTAAAAATGTATTCCCTCCCCAAATCCATCACTCTCACCTTTTAGAACAAACATTCATTTGTATCCTCTTCTGCCAGCAGCAGTGTGTTACTGCTGGAAGCTGGATTACCACTTTCTTGCAGCCATTTTCTGGCATAAGAGATTCCTCCCTCAATACAAATCAGTTGAGTTCTTCCATGGGGGAACACTGTGTGGCAAGAGCTATATTCACTTACTGCCATATTTCTCCACAACAAAAACCTTGCTCTGGATCCAAAAAACTTCACCTGATCTTTCCTAATATGTTTGACTGCTTATAACTATAAATTGATCAATTTATAACATTAAATTAACCCACCACTGCAACGTTTCCGCACATCTTCACCAAGTACAGCCTCATCTGATTTCCTTCTCTGTGAGAGTTTACTAGGAGTCTTGAAAGCAGCTTCTGCAGCCATAGCTAAGGCTTTTTCTGCAGGAAAAAATAAGTGGGAAGAAAGAGCTATTATGATTTGTAATTCAAAGAACTGGAATCTAGAACTGATTTTACCTCCGGGTTCCCCAAGCAAACTTCAGTCAGAAACTGGCAGAAATCTGGAAGCCCACTCAATGCATGAATCCAAATTAAACCAGATTTCTGCCAGTTTCTGACTGAAGTTTGCTTGGGGAACCCGGAGGTAAAATCAGTTCTAGATTAGTAATTAGAATTAGTAATTAGTAAAAAGAAACGGTATAAAAATATATAGAGTAAC